CCTACCTGTGGGAGAGGCTTCTTTGCCCGGATTGGTCTCATCAGCCACCTCCGGACACACCGTAGAAATTTATTAACAAACTAGATGTCTTTTGGTCATCTTCGACTACGAAGGACGAACAACAACATAGCTTTGAAATATTTCCTACTTTCTACTTGCACAAATCCCATAATACCCTCTTTTACACTCCCCCCTCCCAACATTTTGCATAATCATTGTTTGCAATTTCTCGTGGGACATGAAGATGTCCCAAGAGAAATCTAAAACAATGCCTATGCAAAATTTTTTGGAGGGGTAAAAGAGGTCTATTATGGAATTCGTGCAAGTAGAGAATGGCGTGATTGAAGAATTGGGGTGGGGGAGAAATGGGGGGGGGGGGGAAGAAATTTTCTCACGCTAATGACGTCAGTCTTTTCTATCTTATCGCCTCATTACTATTAAAACCGTTATTTCTCCTGCTTTGTAGGTGCCATGTTCTCCTCCGTCACCACAGTGGATACGTTCTGTAACTTCCTTGGCGCCTTTATCTTCAATCCAATGTACATTCGATCGTCTAACTTCGGTTTCCCAGGGTTACCATTTCTTGTGAGCGCCGTTCTTATCATCATTCCTCTAATCATGACCAAGTAAGTAGCAGGCCTTAGCGGGGAAAATGACGCTAATTGAAAATTTCTGTACTAGCATTGCTGCGCCCCCTTGATAGATTGCCAGTCCATGTCCCTAGCATTTTTTTTCAGAATTTCCTATTTACATAGCCTTCAATACCGGTCGGAATTGTGGAACTAATTGTAAGGCAGGTCTGAAACGGGGTATTGATTTAAGGATCAGGTCTTAATTGATATGGTATCGAATATTTGGTCAGGTCATAAATAGGGAAGGGAAAATTGCAGATTTTGGTCTTAAATAGGGTAAAGGTTTTGCGAAGTGGGTCGCACACTCCCAATCANTACGTTCTGTAACTTCCTTGGCGCCTTTATCTTCAATCCAATGTACATTCGATCGTCTAACTTCGGTTTCCCAGGGTTACCATTTCTTGTGAGCGCCGTTCTTATCATCATTCCTCTAATGATGACCAAGTAAGTAGCAGGCCTTAGCGTGGAAAATGACGCTAACTCAAAATTTCTGTACTAGCATTGCTGCGCCCCCTTGATAGATTGCCAGTCCATGTCCCTAGCATTTTTTGTCAGAATTTCCTGAGCGATTTCACCGGTATCCTTATTTATACTCCTCTTCGAGGGTAGAACCAGGGCACTGGGATAGCAGAAAATCATGCCCATGAATAAAGCGATGCCAAATTCTAAATGGACAAGTCAACACCCATCAATCATTAGAAAACCGGACTCAAACACAGTCCTCGTAAAAGTTAGTGGTGGAGATGATAGCTTCTTCCAGGCTAGTCGTTTAGCTGGGGCGCAGTGCGAAAAAACGGTGAGGCGAAAAAGAAGAGAGAGGCTTGGTGCAAAGACCTAACAAACCGTCTTCCCGCCTTCTCAGGCCCGGCTTTCTCCCTATATTTTTGTGTTCCATTCCGCGCTGCGCCCTCAACCCCCCGCCCCCCCGGAAGTACTCCCATATTATGGGGTATATAGGTATAAGAGGTCTGAAAAGGAGATGGTATTTTAGCCGTTTTGGTCAGAAACAGGGTATCGAGTTTGGCCATTTTGGTCATAAATAGGGTATGGGTTTTGCACCCTTGAATTGGGTATGCTTTTTTTTAGAAGAGGCTACTTTTTCATCGTCATCGATAAGACCATTGACAAAAGCCGTTTACATAGCCTTCAATACCGGTCGGAATTGTGGAACTAATTGTAAGGCAGGTCTGAAACAGGGTATTGATTTAAGTGTTAATATCAAGTCTTAATATGGTATCGAATATTTGGTCAGGTCATAAATAGGGTAGGGAAAATTGCAGATTTTGGTCTTAAATAGGGTAAAGGTTTTGCGAAGTGGGTCGCACACTCCCAATCAATTTTTCCGGTAGTACCACCTCCGAGGCCCCAACTAACTGAACGCCTGGAAGAGACTATGGAAATCATAACTTATGACTAATTTCTCATATATTTACTATATGATGTTACAGATTTTTAAAGGACCCGTCGTCATTTCAAGAGATGACAGAAACAACTGAAGAACCTGAAGTGTACGAGGAGGACGTAAAACTCAGTACGACTGACAAGCCTGCAGTGGATGAGGAAGACGTAAAATTCAAAGAAGTTCCGATTAACGACAACGAGAAAGAACCCCAATCTACGTCACTATAGAGGGAGGGGAATTACGATAAATAGATGCGCTTTCCATTCAACCAAAAATTTCGGCTTGAATTTCCATAAATAGAACGGCATTTTCCGGAATTTTTCCGTCAAAAAGTGGACCACCTCATAATCTGACTGGGAATTAATTTACCGTTCCATTTGATTTTCCTTCCAGAGTTCACGGAATTTTCATTTTTCGCCAAAATTCAGTTATTTCCGGATTTTCTGGACCTTTTCTCAGGAATTCTCCGATCATTTACCCCGTTTCGAAAGTTCTGGAATTCTAGGTTGAATGTAACGCAACCTTGGAAATACTCCCCACAAGTTTGCAAGTGTTTGCCCGAATAAGGCGGGGGGGAGGGGAGGACCATTTGAATTCTGACAAGGGTTGGGTGACATGGTATAGGCACAATTCTTTTTATCCCTTTCAAGGTCCAGGAAATGTTTTCTCGGGACGTGTACAGGATATTTTTTCCCCGTGTAACAAGCTCTTTCGGCTCACTAAACGTGCGTGAATGTTTTACTGCAGTGGTCGTGTGTATGATGTCGTTTAATGGCATAAGTATGCTTGGATCGCAGATATATAGTTTTCAAAATCTATCTTACCCACCCTCCCCCCTCCCCCACAAAATAAGTCACATGGTTCACCCCTAAAGTTGTCTCTTTTCCTGTCATACTGATGACGTGGGGTCGCTTTGATCCACGAAGTGTCCGTGATTGGTTGTTTCTTTCGCGCTCAAATTCAAAACCGACCAACAATCAATCAGAATTATGTAGAGTTACGTCATCAGTTTGGAATTTGGAATTCCTGTGTCTCGTGTGAAGACAAGTTCGTAACAGAGGGCCTTCCAGGGAAGCTGGGGGAGCATGTATCCTTAATCCCTAGAAAATCTCGCTCCTTCTCCCTTGTTCAAAGTTTCAAAGTTCCCCTTTAATAGCAGAAGTATCCATTGTTCCCTCTAATTAATCACAAAAATATCCCTTGTTCATTTGTCATAAATGAGCATGTTACTCAAAACCCCAGGGAAGCCCTCGGTGGACGTTTGCGCGCGAGAAGTTGCGGAGAATCTAATGGAACAGGTACAAAGTAGAATATTATAGACTGCTCTTCAAGGAACACTTTCTTGTTACTTTCAGGTACCCAGGACGATGTAATAAAGTCTAGTTATTTAGTCAAGCCAACACATCATTTTGCTTTACAAAACCCCGTGCTTTAATATCATATAAAGTGCTGCAAATTCTGTTAACCTTATTACAAAAGCTTGACATTTCCCTGAAAAAAATTTCAACATAAAGGGATAGACCTTGAGCACACCTGTAGTAGATTAAAAAAATGCTACTGATTCTATGATTCTAAAGAAACTGTTCGGGTAGGTTAGGGGAAAATTCCTTATCATTTGTCTTAATATCAACAAGTGTTCTGAATCTCTTCTTATATGTTATTGTTTATGCCAAAGGTTTTTCTTCTTTTTTAGAAACCAGTCATAAAAATTCTTACTTATTGATACAGTGCAAATACACATGTACAAGATTATCAAAAAAGGAACAAATCACTTTATGATATCAAATTCCGAATAAACAATTGCAACAAGAAAGCAACCTATCCTTGTTTCTACTTTCAGTGTTATTTTAGAATTAAAACGAAAACTATGAGATACATAAAAACATGCTGTACTAAGTACTGGTTATATAAAAATCCGACTAAAATGGCGTAAAATTGAACTGTGAAGTCCCCAACAACTGGATCAGATTCCTGCAAAAGAATGCACAAACACAACAAGGATTAGAGGAAAATAACCATCGAAGAATATTTAAGATTTCAATACTAGATATATTTTTTTTCAAGGCAGCCACTATATTTTAATTTGTTGTGTTTTGCTTCTTACTGGCCCATTACCCCGGGGGATTATTGACGAAACTGAGTTCTGTTCTTAAAAGGGAAATGTGACAGGGCAGGAAAAGAATCAGGTCTGATTGCACGGAGCAAGTAAATTTTGCTCTTGGGCAAGTGAAAATGGAAGTTTGGTGGTGCGGTGGGCAGATGAAATCAGCCTCAGTAGTCTTGTTAGTGATAATTTTCAACGAAAAACAGTTTCAAAACTTAAGACTGCAAGATAATATTAAGCAAAACAATGAATCGAAAGCATGAATTAATTTAAAATCCAATCACACTAAATAAAATTGCTGGCATTTGTCCTCTTTTAATGTCTATCAGTGATTATAGACAGTACCTGCATGAACATTGAACACCTATTGGGCAAAGTAATATTTTAGTGGGGGCTACTGCAAACTTAAATGTACTGGCCCACTGGGCAACTGGATTTCCAAATAAATTTTTTCCTGCCCTGAATTAGCGTTGTGTGACAACCTAACATGTGAGTTATGGCTGTTAAGGAACCTAAGAATCCTGGGTTCTACACGTAGTTAATAACAATAATAATTTAATGAAAAGTCTAATAACATTTTGACTTACAACTGACCTGTCAGTCTCTCAGTCTACAACAGCCGAGGTGCACATGGTATTCAAACCACAGCTTCCATCACCACGATAGATCAAGTAGTATCCCTATGGCAGAAAAAGTAATAATTTAATTATTACCTGGCTTCTAATTAACACTAATCGCATGCAGGGGTCACTTACTGTCCAGTGTACAGTGATCTATGTTATACCAAATGACAAAATTTATGAATTACCAAAGAGTTGGCTTTACTGTATTGGCATACAGGATTTAACAAGAATTGTTTTTGCTATAAAGAGCCGAGATAATGATGTAGCAATCTTTTTTTTTTATATTGAACAATTGCAATCCCAGCCTATGATACGTTTTTACAAACAAATTACAGGCGTTTTTGTGGTCTAACATACATGAAAGAACAGAAAAACTCTACTAGTGCGAAATGTCCACCAGGTCTGTTTGGACACACCACACAAGTGGCACACACCCAGATTCGTGACACAAGTGAGAATGCTTTACTAAATTACATAAAAAGTGGCAATGAAAAGATAAAGCACTGAAGACAGTTGGGCAATGATCTTCTACATGAGCTGTTCCGCAAAGTAGAATCATCTCACACTGAACACAGGAATTTGTTTAGCTAACTTACATCCATAATATGTTCATGAATAACAATTTAACTGTTGCTCAAAGCATTCCAAGTTATTGGTAACTGCTACACTCAAAGAAAACCAACTTACTTGCTCTCCCCAACTTTCTCCCCAACTGTAGGGGAAACAAATCAAACTTAATATGAGAATCAAGCTACAGTCGCATGTACTTTGTACAATGTAATAGTATATGATGACGGAGAAATACATGTAATGGTCACCAATCTGCAGTAGATACAAGGAAGTGCTTGTCTACCTACATCTGTATGCATGTATGCATGTACAATGCATACATATATGAAGATAGAGCTGCATTTTGCACATCTAGCGCCATTTTTGCAACAAACAAGATTTATTGTACAAGATAACATCCAGCCTAAACAAGAATTGCAGTGATACTCATTATATTCATCCCTGAAACAATACAACAACAACCATGAAACAAAACAACAACAGCAACAATGAACTTGTCACCTGTTCTTGATAATCCAGTATGGCTCCTCGCCAAACAGCCAAGATTTCTCTGAAAACAAAACAGTACAAGAAAAGGTTTGTTATTATGTCAAGAAAAGACTCATTCAGTCCCTTGCCCTCCCCCACCCTCCGCCCCTCATATAGAGCAGACACCTCAAAATCCAAATAAAAGTGGTAGATCTCAGTTTGATATCACCTAGCTGTAAACTTAAGAAACAGGTAAACTGACAACCAAAGACTTCAGCTTCATTTTGCCTGTGATATTACATATGTATGCAGACATGCAGCTTATCAGTTCACAGGGCTTGATTTTCAGCTGGCCCCTAAGCTTTCAGATTTAGTCCCCAGCACAAGTATTTCTGTCAGTGAAAAGTGCGAAAAGTTAGTCACCAGTGAAAAGAATCCAGTCGCATTGGAGAAGTCGCAACGTTGAGTTCTGGTTCAAAAGAAACCTTTGTCCAGACAAAAGTTTTCATACTGCAACTACTTAAAATCATCATATAGGTTTCACTATATAGAGCGTATCTCGACTTAGACTACCCAAAGATATTCCGATTCAGCTATCTTAGTCAATACGGTCAAACCTCTACTAAGCGGCCGCCCATTAATAAGCAGCCAGATATTCAAAGTCCTGAAATTATTGTCACTAACATACTGTAAATAAAATCCCTGTTAATCGACCACCTCTATTAAATGGCTGCAGCCACCTATTGGTCGTCTCAATAAGGGTACTTCTATTGTCTTTACCCCTATTACATGGCCACTCAAAATTTAATACACTTAGATTGGCTTTGTTCTAGAAAAGACAATGAAAGATAAGAGTCCGAAATAGAATTCAATGACTGACAAAAACATTCACACACACGTTTATTATGATTGTCTTGATGTGATTACATTCTAACCTGATGGTGAAATATATTCAATGCACATGAACCCTTAAGCGGCCAACCGCTATTAAGCAGCCACCTTCCATTTCCCCGAGGGTGGCCGCTTAATAGGGGTTCTACTGTAATCACAATTTTTTTTCTTTTAAAAAATATATACTACTACTGATACTAATAATACTTACTGACACCGTAGCCAACAATCAGAACACCATGGTCCAAGGAGGAAGGATCACAAAACATCTTCCATGGGTGAGCAACACCTCCCATGTAAAACTACAATGTCACATGTTCAACATAGATCAGCAAAAACAAATAAATCAAAATGTAAAGAGCTACAGTTGTGCCAGTTAAATGGGATATCAAAACTGGCCATTTCTGAACTCAAAAATTATCATCTAAATTCTTGCAATTGAAGCGCACAGTTGAACTGAATCAAGGAAGTGATCGACAAAGATGAATGAACTTTGATAATTAGATTCTCCCAACTACAGAACTACACATGCACTGTACCTGAAGACATGTGTGGAGATTGATCAGTAAAGAGAATTTGTACATGTACGTTAAGATTTCTACCTTACCTGCATCATGTTGGCATTGATACCAATAGAGATAGGTCCATTAGCAACGAGCCAAGCTGCCATTTCTGTAATAATAATTATAAAATTTACAAGAAGCTTAGAAATAGTCAGAACTGAGCTAATACCACATGACATAAATCCATAAATTATTAATACAGGCCAGCATACTTGTACATGTAAAAAATTATGTAGCCGGACACATAAATGTACATGTATAAGGAAAAATGACAATAAAAATATACATTTGAAAAATGCACAAATGGATGCAGCACTGACCTAGACTGCCACTGTTATTTATTTTTCCTATAATTTTAGTGACAGACTGTGATCTGCTTCTTTCTGAGCTTATTGGATGCCATTCTCTATTTTTCCAATTCGTCATAATACTCTGTCACTCTGTTTGCATTCCCCCCCTGCCCCCCTCCCCTCCCCTCCGGCCCAAAAAAACATTTGCAGTTGTGAAATGCTCTTGGGAGGTGTGCATTATCTCAAGAGCCTTTCACAACAATAGTTTATGCAAAATTTGGAGAGCAAACAGAGGGTGTTATGAGGAATTGGAAAATACAGAATACATTAATTTTACAGTTACATGTACAGTTTGTAAACATATCACATCGCCAACAGTTGGGATGAGAACAAATTTGGCTTGATTATCAGCAACTGTACTGGAAAATTAACCTGCACTTCTTTGTTAAGGGTACAAAATGTACCTTCGCCAAATTTGTGAACAGACCTGCCAGAGTGGGGCAAATTGAGCTCAATAACATGTACAAATGTACATGTGTAACAAATTAATTTTGCAAACTGACAGAAGTTATGTAGGTGCAACTCACTAGTTTCATCTTTGGATATGGACACAGAGTCATTGATGTACACTACAGCTTCTGACTCCTCAAACTTGCATTTCTCACCCACTGCATCATAAGGATACTCCTGCTCTGTCTCAAGCCCACCTGAACACAAATTAAACATGGGTTGTTAGGTTGTGTGAGTCCCAGGACTCACTACAGCCTTTTTCTAAACAGATAACTGTTCCACGTCATGCAAGGCTGGAGTCTGAGTGTGCAAGGTTTCTGGTTGAGTGTTTTTGTAGAGTTTACAAAGTTAACATGACTTAAAGTTGTAAGAGTAAAGGAAAACAATACTTTTAGATGCTTTTGTATTATTGTTAAGAAAGAGATCTAAAACATAATAACACCACAGGTTCATACACAAAATGTGATTCCCTTGGATTATGCAATTATGCAACCAAAAGGGGGGGGGGGGNTCACTCAGGTTTGTGCCAAATGGTAGGGGTGGGTCATGTTTTTTCTATCCATCATATTTTCAAAGGCCCTCTATACTTTCTGACCTGTCCCTAAACAAGATACATCTGTGCAAACGTAAAAGAAAGAATTGAAAAACACTTTTCATTAATGGGTGTGTTATACCTTACAGCAGTGTAAAGCAACATCACTTTGCTAAACATGTCTGTTACTCTGCCAAATTGCAAGCATCAATTTCCTCAGAGAATACAAAACTACATGTAACAATGACTCTGAAGCATAAGCAACCAAATTAAAAAATTGACCAAACTACTTAAGCAATTAAACAGAAAATAAAATAAAAACATATTTTTGAACTTACCAAGTTTCATGATTTGTTTATAAGCATTGGCTGGCAGTCCACCATTGCAGCCCTGGTCAACAGTATCACAGTCAACAAGCTCTGTAAATTGAGAGAAATGAATGAATTGCCTAGAGAAGCATTAATTTTGCAGTGTTTCAGCCAGAAAATTTTACTTGAGGGCCAAAGTGGCCCCTGAAGATCTTTTTTACGGGCTATTTTTTTAGGAAAGGGGCCAATAAATTGAAAGCTACAGAAAGAAAAAAATGCATCAGGGTACCAAGGAAAATAATTTAGCAGTTCATTAGGATCTCTGATAAAATTTAATAGTACATGTAAGTGCTTTTTGAAGTGTTTCTACTGGATAAAGTTTCCTTTGAATCAGTTACTAGTATGAAGGATCTGTGCATTACAAGAGAACAATCCTTAGGCATACATGACATAGTCAATGATCAANAAGTGCTTTTTGAAGTGTTTCTACTGGATAAAGTTTCCTTTGAATCAGTTACTAGTATGAAGGATCTGTGCATTACAAGAGAACAATCCTTAGGCATACATGACATAGTCAATGATCAAGAGTTTGCAATGCATGATAGGGCGATTTCAAACACGGTCAGCCATTTGGAAGTTTTCCGATGTGAGAGAATCAATACAGCAAAGCATAAGGACAGATTGACTTCTTTTCTTATGTTGAATGTTTTAGAAGCAAAGATCTTTCAATATGATTTTGTAGAAGGACGTAATGTGTGACAAAATAACCGTTATTGATCGTCAACACAGAGAAATGTAGCCACCTTCATGGTGACTAAACCACAATTTTTGGTCGCCAAGGATGAAATGTTACTTGCATTGGCAACCGCATGGATCACAATTTCGAGCCCTGGGATGGCGTTTAAATTATTATGCCTTTGTTAAGCCTGCAGTCTTGTAAAAGGAAAGGGCCAAATTGGCCCTTTTTTCGCTTTTCTGGGGGCCATCTCTGATTGTAACGTGGGATTCCCGCAATGGCACGCTCTGGCGGAAACACTGATTTTGTGGTAACCACTTGGACAACGGTAAACTTGTTGGAGGAGGATGCTTTCATTTATATTTTACTTACAAGTTACAATGTAACAGTTCCCAGAGAGACAAGAATTGCTACATGTTTTTTTCCACTTGACCTCCCACCCCTAGCTTATCAAATGATAGCTGTAGGTTGAGTTGATTATTTACTTTGATCTAGTTCATGATTTATATTCTTTTACATTAAAGTTTAGCTTTTTGTGTGTTTGAATAAAATTGTTGATGTTGTTGTTGTGTTGTCCTATCAGTTGCCTCATCCAACTATGAGTTTGTTTTCTAAAGGCATGCTTGCTGGTACAGGTATAGCAATTATTAATTAGCAGATTTTGAGAAGACACTGCACATGTACATACATGCAGTACAAGACTGTAATGTGTCTGCATATGCCCTGTATTTTTCATACCGTCCTGTAAGTTCTCTGTCTCCTAAAGAGATTACCCATACACTGTATTGTGCAAACAAAATGTGCCAAGGAAATGGGTTGATCACTTTTAAAAGTTATATAGCCGCTTGCCATTAGCTTTACTTAGCTTTACTGTGCCGTTTTTCCTGACAGTATATACATCTTTTGCAAAGCACATTCAATATGAATTTACAAACCTACTGTACAGTCAAAGGCTTACACAATGACTGCTATATTACTGTACCTTGTTCACTAAGAGAGACCAGCTGGCCTTTCTTGATTTTCCATTGTCCCTCGATATTTCCAGTTGTGGAGAAAGCCCAGCAGGAACCACACTGACCCTAAATTTAACATGACATAAATAAAATTTTGAACAAAATGCACACTTGCACTAACAGAACAGTGCAATATTAGCTAGATGGAAAAGCTCAACAAGGATGTATCTTGTTTCTCTCGAGCATCACTGAGGCCACATTTATTGTACAATTCATATACATGTACATGTATTACTTGCAAGAAGCTGGCAGACATATCAAAGACAACAGCTTTGTTTAGGTATCAACAGAAAGTTGAGATACATGTGTTGGATGCACTGATTACCTGTTCTACTTATGTTTGTATAATGACCTAGTCAAAGGGAGCAAATTAAATTTAAGGCATAACTAGTTTGTATTCAAGATTATTCAGAACACATGTAAGAACTGATTAACACAACCATTCACAAATTGCCATTTGCTTACTTGATTCTTGACAGGAGTTACAGCACCTAACAAAACAGTAAAACAAATACTCAACTTAAGTACATACATGTAGGTACTGCCAGTTACAAGACAAAGTCCTATATACCACTACAGACTGTCAAATAAACCAAATGCACATACAGCGAGTTGAGCACAAAGTACATGTAGATTTACCTTTGTCTCTCCAATCAAATGCTGATGGAATCTCTCCCTTCGGTATTTCAGCTTCTTTCATTTCGTACAAAGGTTTTCCCCATCCAGGCATTCTGTAATATTTCTTGAATTCCTCCACTGAAAGGAAACAATATGATACAACTGACATGTAGATCTGATAAGGAAATTTTGACATACTGTGATAACACCTACTGCCTACATGAATAGTACTATTAATATTAACTCTTCTCATTGCTACCATGCCATAAAAAAATAAGCCAAGCAGAATACAGGAAAGCAATTTTTTACTTGGCATTATTACACCCAACCTTCCTATTGTGTGCTACAAACTGTACATATTAATTTGATAAATTTGTGCTGGCAACTGTATTGTACAATGTATGTATTTTCTACGGCATGGTATAAAGTAGTTATGCCACTTTTCTTGAGGTATACCATGGAATATCCCAATTGTCAGTTGTATTTTCTAGTGTTTTCTACAAGTTGGTGACTCATGGTATAGTCCACCGCATGCCACTTGAAAGTGTTTTTCATAACTTGTATCTATATTGTGACGAACAATTGTATGTCTTTCCTTGTGCATGTACATTCGACTTGTATATTGCACATGGTTATCAAGTGGCAATTAAAAGATACAAACTTGTGTACAACCCGACTTTAAATTTAGTTTACATGTATATGTACGTGTACCTCCAGTCAGGAGACATGACAAGATGAATATAACCTTCAATCTTTGTGAAACTGCTTAGTCTTGAAGTCTTACGTTGTTTCTTCAAAGGCCGCTAATTCCAACTTCATGTTATGACTTACAACACCAACTACGTGTAAACACAAACCTGTGAGATCACTAAACACTGTCTCTCCATATTTGGCAGAGCCTTGTTCCATGTCCTGCATTTTGCGTGCCAACACCAAGTTTTCTTTGTAAATTTCAAATCGTTTCTTGTACTCTAAAAGCAAAGATGCAAGAGGCTGTTACAGCAAGATACACTGAATGCTGACAATAAACTTTCTACATATATTTATTTAATAAATAAACCTACATGTACGACACAACAGGTGTAAATACAGTATCAGGTCACACCATACAATGTATTGACGACCTCACTATTATAATAAGAAAGTTAATAAAATTAGAGTTAAGCTACAGTTAAGCTATTCTCCTTATAGTGATCAACTTGATTTCAGTCTGTGTTTCAAGATACTTATTAAATTAACTGCAATTTGATTGAGACTCTACTGTTCACTTAATTATTGGGCAACAGGTACACCTGAGAATCTGCAATTTATGTGTACTGCATGTATATATAAAACTCACCATTTTTGTCTGTTATGTAATGCTTCTTGTGCTTAACCACAAACTGGTGGAATGCCTCATCTAAACTGTTATCACCACTGGAAGACTTTGGCTAAAGAAGTGGAAGGATACATCATTCTACAATCATAAGATTGCAGCTGCTCCACCTCCTAAAAATGTGCTACAGGCCCATACAACTAATTTTAGTTTTAATTAAGGACGTTGCCTACTAAATACAAAGGTTTTTGCGCCAGGTAAGGAGCACACAGAAAAAGTAGACGTTTGCAAGGGCTATTGGAATCCACAAAGAAAAATTGGGGTAGCCATGCATTTTTTTGAGATAATTAGTCTTGAATTTCAACAAAAATGCTGACATCAGCATTTTCTGAAAAAAGAAAGAAAGGATATTTCTTCACAGATTTCTTTGGAATTCGCCTTTACAAAACGAAAAGCAGACACATTTATAAAGATCTTAAAGCTGCATGGTAAATGGTAGCATAAAAAAAACATTTTTGGCATGTTTTTAATAACAAAATCGTTGCAACAGTGCTTTTAGCATCTCTGACAGCCTTCCTCTGGTTCATCCAAAATACAGTCTAAATACCTTTTGCTCACAACCAGAAACTAATTACATGTTGAATAGGCTTGCCACTTCAATTTCATAACATAAAATGTAGGGGTAACCACGCGTTTTTAAAGTTATTGATCTTTTTTGAAAACTTTTATGGTGCCCGTTAAATTTTTTCCTGTCACCTCCCCAGTAAGTAAAACATTTGCATATTTCGCACTTGTTTTGCGTGCCCACTATGTCATCTGCAGGTACATGTCTACAGTTGAATTTTAATTTTTGACAGATAACAACTAGTTTTTCAGCTGGAAGACATTAACAGTTAGTGGTTAGCAATATGCTGCTATTTTAGTGTTCCTGGTTTAAGTACGGGTTCATTAAACTTGATTTGGTCCCAGTAGGAAAATTTTGCTTTCTTTTAGCCATGTACTTGGTAGTGTAGTTGATTGCATCAATGTCAACCCCAGCGTGCGCGTGGCACTTAAGCCATGCCTTGCATGATGTGCAGAAAGTATGCGCACTAACAAAAGTAGGCACCGTCCTTAAAGCATTCAAGTAATTTTGTTGGAGGACTACTAAAGAAGAACCTGGCCTTGCGCACGATGTTGGTATACAATTGCGTAACAAAAACGGTCTCACGCTAGATTTCTTATTATTTCTCGTCATTCTTAAAGTCAGTGGTCGTAAAACTTCGCAGAATTAAAGTTCCATCTATGTGCACCCCAAAAAGCGAAATTTTCAGTCTGAAAGAGATTTATTAGAAGAACAATAACAAAATTCTGAAAACAGGTTAGGCAAAAAGTGCAGTTTTTTCCCCATTTTTTGACCAAAATGGAAAGTGCATTATTATAATTTTTAACTTCTTAGTGTGAACAATTCAATTCAAGAAGGTGTCTCCAAAGTGCACCTAAATTTTGCTTTAAAATGGTGGGA